TGTGTATGTAGTGAATGCAAGCGGGGTTCAACGTCCCCTTGTTTTTGTCTCTCTTTCCCACTTTGTGTTGGTATCATTGGGGCCCTGATGCACACTTTTTGCTCACAGGGGGCTGAGTCATACTTGCAATAACAGCKTTGTAGGAGGAGGACRTCMGACTGAAGAAGTATCTTGGAGGAGAGATGAAACATTTCACTAAAGAAGAACCCATCCAGAGGACMTACTTATTTTTTTTTCCTTTTTCATCATTATGAGGTGGTTTAAAGGGCTTTTTAGTTGTTTTACACTTCAACCAGCAACAGTCGGAGTAAAAAGTCTCTGATGTTGGTGTTCTGACAGTCCTGATCTACATGTGGTTAAAAGAAGTCAACATTTTTTGGTCACTATTTAAAGGGCACATGTGCAAAAAAGCCATTAAATACATTTAGTTGTGCACTTCTCTAGGAGTGCAGAAAAGTTTAATTTAGTCTCTCCCGATGCTGCGTAAATATCTTTCTATTCTGTTGGGTCATATTGTTCAACTAGTTCAGTTTTCTCTAGTTTTTTGAGGTTTTCTGAACTATAACGTCACAGTATTATTGCATWCTACAATTTTATTGCCTTCGTTCTCCTCTGGTTCTGGGTCAAACTCTGGCTCCAACATGTAAGGCTGGATGGACAAGTCTTCCCTTGTTGACATCTTTTAATTCATTTGCAAATAAAATGTTTCTGCACCGTTATATAGTCGTAAACCCCTCTATCAAACTGGAATCAAAGTCAAAGTCAAAACTCTTTATTTGTCTCCCCTGGGAGAAATTTTGTCTGGTAAAGAGCACTGCTGCACCTACTTCTACAGTACACTACAGTAATACAATAAAACCACAAGAGCTATAAATGCAATAAGAATAGGAACAGGACAAATATAAATAATAAAAATTACAAATCAAAATAAAATAAAATAAATCAGCATGYCACACATAAATTACTAATTACCAACTTTGATATTTTCATTTATGGCCTAGACAGATAAAGGGACGAATGAGAGTTTGTAACTGTTGTATTTACATAATAGAACTGAATGGATCGGTCTAGAAGCTGGAGGGGGGCGGGGTGTGAAGCGCCTAGTTTGGATTTAAAGACACAGCCTCAAAACGAGTTGTTTTGAGAAAACAGGGTGAAAGAGGGACTTGTGGAGTTACAATAAGGAAGAATTCAGAGCAAAGCATTGCAGTTCYACTTTATTTAGACCCCAAATGAAGGATTTAAATGTGGGAAAAGAAGAATTTAAAAGCAGGATATGTCTCCTTTAAATCTAAAGAGTTTTTACACCCCAGACACGTGTCACAACTAAAATCTGTTCAACGCAGCAACGRGCAGGATGTCACATAGCAGCTCTGTACGAGCAAAAAAACAAAACAAGTTTTCCTCCTTCTTCAATCATCTTTCTTCCTCTCTGCCTGGCCTTCTTACATGATGCTCATAAGAACCACTCACACAGAGTCCACCAGGTGTGCTGCAGGAGCCAACACTTAAACCAGTCATTCATTTGAATAAGAAAGAGGAAATGTGTGCATGCTGCTGAGAATGTTACCGGGACTGCAAAGAGGGGGGAAAAAAACTATTTTTGATGCATATTGAAGCCATAAAGCAAGAGTTACCGACCTGGTCTTCCATGAGCAGGATGAGCCGGGTCACCACAATGTTGACTGCGTTCCCCAGGCTAGAATCCTGGAACAGTTTGGCAACCTGACCTCCAGGGAAACAAGAAAAGACCAGTCTTAAAAACACTGATTTATTACGCAAAGGTCATCCTGCATAAATACTGTATGTAAAAGTAGAAAAAAAAAGACTAATTTAATTCAATCATTTAATCCCCGCGCATCTTTTGTGTTGTGAAACTTACAATATTCATGACGGCCAGGATGTACTGCTCGATGTCCCTGCGGCCGTGGTAGCCCACCATCATCTTGTCGGCGACCACCAGCGTCTCCACGTAACGCTCCTGGCTCACCGAGCGCTTCAGGGGCAGCTGACCCCGGCCGACGTGATGCGGCGGCGTCTTCAGGGTCCGCTGCCACCACGACGCCGCTTTCATCGGCTTCTCATCTGAGGTGGACACCGAGCGCCCCGGTTAGAACGATACGGTCGCGCCTCGCTGCGCTTCACGCTGCTAAAACCCCAGGTAACGATCTCCCYTCTTACCGATGACCCCGCAGGAGCGGCCCTTGTACTGATGGCGAAGCGATGATCGTTTGTAGACCACATGGGGGCGCCCCTCGGTCCTCTCCTCCCTCTCAGTCCTGGTTTGGTTATCTGGTGAGACAAGGGGTTCAATCAGGTACTCCTCTCCCCCTGCAACAATCACCCCCTGCTGTGGAAGACAGATTTGAAGAGCAAATAAGTAAAAAAAAAAAAAAAAAAAGAAAATATGGAATAAGTATAATTAAAAAATACAGATTTGGCAAGGGGTTACAAAACTAAAGAGAAAATTTTATTTACATAAAAAATCAGTATTATAAAACAAGTTCATTATTGTATTAATATAAGAAACCTTCTTAAATCCTCCTGCCTGTGTTGATTCTGGTAGCTTCAATTAAACAGTGCGTGCTGATTGTGATACAGTGTAAATAAAGAAGTGGGTAAAAAACTCAAACATGGAACAAGAAGGCTTGCAACAGAGACCACATTTATCAAAAATAACAAACAGGAGGATAAACTAATTTTAAAAAGTAAAAACTGAATCTAAGAGCATCAACAGCAAAAAAAAAAAAAAAGCTGTTTGGTAGAGAAGATTGGGCTAATTTTTTATGCACACCACCCACATCCTCAGCTCTACTGCTCCTCCCACAAATGCATGTTCCTTACAAATGTGGCACCATTTAAAAAAGAAAATGACCAGGCTTTCCCTTACTTCTTGTGCAAAGTATATATGTCTATATAACGACATAATGAATAACAGCTGAGTGGCAATAAGACAAACAGAAACCAGGTGTGACAGGACTGTGAACAAGCAAAACAACCAAAATCAAACAGGAAGTAAGTTAACAGAAAAAGAGACAAGGTCGGTAATTTAGATTCTAAACGTGCTTCGTGACGCTTTTATTGTTCGTCTGAGAAGCAAACCCCTAATCTGCAACTTCCAGCCTCGTTATTAATTTTTAAAACTAAAAAAAAATCTGTGGTTTTATTAGGCCTCAATATGTCTTATTATAAAATGTCGACACTAAAGTTTTTTTTACAAAACGTTACATTTTTCAAAAGGTTGTGAGCACAACATAAGTTTGCATTAAAACAGGATTGATTACGCCAACAAGTATCTTTTGTTTCACTAAATTTATGACTAGCATTGCAATAAAAACACCCATTTATGACACCTAAAAATAACAATAACTTGGCTGAAACTGTTTAAAATTAATTTAATAGTAATATTTGTCCTCATTCGAAATAACTTGAGTTTTTGAGCATCTCTGACAACGTAGAGAGAAATAAAATATATATATATTACTTTAGGTTAATCTGGAACAGAAACATGTGGCGATCTGGCAAAGCCCCCCTCGTGAYGGGACTCCAAACACGTACAAACACACGAGGGAGGATGAAAGGGTGAATGAGAGCGAGAAAAATGAGTGAGTGAAACAGAGGGAGATACACTAACACATCCTTTGATTCTGCTCAGACGTGTCGGCCCCGGTCAGAGCGAACCCCCCCTCAAAATCCGACTCGCCGCGGCGGCTTTGAAAGCGCCTTTAATCTCATAATGAAGTTAGTGATGCTCCCGTGGACACCCCAGCGCCCACGCCGCCCCGACCAACAGTAATTACGTGTGAAGGCTTGTGAACGCTCGGTGAGCACATGTGAAACGTTATTGTGGGGGCCTGCCGTTTGTGGTGAGAGGAGACACGGTGCCATGAATACAGCGGAGCGCGCTCAGCCGGCTAAATGATGCGCCACAACTCAGACCGTCTGATCAAAGGCTTCAGATGGGTGCCAACTTGGACGCATCATCAAACAGAGGCCAGTTTTTCTGCTCTGGCTTGGAGAGATGACCTCATGAGAAAAATCGGAACGCAAGGAAATTCGGGTCTTCTGCAGTGAGCTCGAAACACGCCCAAACATTGTCTTCGATTTTCCACAATGCCTTTGAACGTGGCGCTGTGCATGATTTTTGTAAAAGTTTACGTTTCTGAAACTTTAAACGCGTTAAAATTTTCCCGCAGTCTRTATTTTCTGGAAAGTGTTGAAATTATTGATTAAACTGATTCAACACAAAACCCGGACAATTTGTCAGTCATTCAGCAGAACTGATATGATCYTTTAGTTTATTTCGTTGCAGATTTTTCTATGTTTTGAGAATTGATTTTGAATTTTACATATATAATTTTTTGTCAAGCCTATAAACCATCCAATTACCCATTTTTCTACACTTATCTGAGGTGGACTCACTCAGGTTCAGGAGGGAAAC